ACGCACACGCGTAAAGGGGTTTATTTGGATGAAATTGAACAGTTTCTAGTGACCCAGAGCCGCGATTCATCACAAAACCTCGTGTCAACAGCCTAAGGACCCGTCGCCGCACAACAAAAATTGGTATGCGACAAGTCCAAAAGTGGCGCGTGACAGCGTCGCGGTCCGCAATATCTCAGCTTAATTCCTAAGCACACACCCACTCAATTGTGTACCCTCATGCTTCTCGTGCTCGCCTGTGACACGTGATAGATCTTGTAATTGCTCGCTCGCCCCATCTAACTCGACCAAGTCTTTCCAACTTTTTGCTGAAAATAGCTCATTTGTTGTATGATATATATGATTAATCCAACCCATAGAATTTTATTGTCCAAACAAGCTACATCCAAATTGATTTATTGATATGTGTGCGTGTATAGTCTCTCATAATTTTGGTAAATCTGAGTCGTCCGAATCTCGCTTGTAGAATAAAAAAGTAATTTTGGTGCAATGAAGGAGGCCGAAAGGCCTAAGCTATAATAAATTGCTAGGGGTAGGACATCTCAATGTTATCTATTATTTTTTCTAGTTCAGATCGATTAGAGAAAAAGTCAATCAGTCTACATTTATTTTTTAATTCAGAGTGATTTCAGTTCGTTTTCATAACAATTCGATGTTATCCCGAGTCTTGTGCTCTATCCAACTATTGCCATTGGATACTCTTTGACAAAAATTAAAGCCACGCTTCTTAATTTAAAGCCTGGAAAAATAATACTAAATAATATGTTCTATGCAATTTTTATTTTTATTTTGGCTAACTTGGAAATATTTTATTTTTCTTGGGGTCTAATTCTATTTGTCAAACTGTCACTATGAAACTGACACCTCAATATATACAATCAACTATAAGCCACAAAATTTCAATAATGATACAATTGTACCTCACATAGGGAAAAAAAAAAATAATAAAAAAAAAATAAATAAATAAATAATTGCTAACAAAATCAATTAATAATTGTATGCATCGGAGTATGTGAATACCATGAATACCATAAATTATAGTTCACTGAAATCAAAATATTC